GGACTCTTAGCCCTACGGCTCAATTCACTGTGGGATCGTTCTACAAATATCTAACCAAGAGAGAGTTGATGAAGAAAATTTTCCATTTAGATAGATATGGGGACTAAATGCATCTCCAAGAATTGCCTTTTTCACTTGGGAAGCAGCTCGTGGAGGTATTTTGTCCATAGACAAGCTTATGAGATGTGGAAAGATAGTAAACTGGTGTTAGAATCTGATGTCTGTGTTTACATTCTTCTTCGATGTCCTGTTGCATACAGTTTATGGTTTATGACCTTTGGGATGCTGGGGTACAACTAGGTGTTGGCAGGCACTGTCAAGGATGCAATTTGGGCATGGAAAGGTATTGTGACTCAGAAGAAGTTTTTGGGGCTCATTCATCTAGTTTTTTTTGGGTTGTTTGGAAGGAGATGAATAGAAGAGTTTTTGAGGGAGTGAAAGAGGGTATTGATAGAATTAGAGAGAGATGGTTCCAATCCCTTGGTGTGTTGATAATGAAACAACATTTGTATTCGATAAAGAATTTCAGTGATTTAATTGATATACTAACTAAAATGTAAGTTCTTTTTGTAAATGGGTTTTGTATCACCTTGGTACTTGTAAGTAATACATATGGTACACTAGTTTTTTTTTTAAAAAATGTTCGGTTGCAACAATTTGGGTTTATTAGCTTCTTCACTTGTTATTGCGAACATGCATATGAATCAGAGTTAAAGTTGGGCCTCTTTGCCTGAACAGTGAAAGTCAAAGAGGTTTGCAAAAACAATTCACAAAATTTTTTCTACTTTCTTTTCTAAGATACATAGATACATATATATGTATGTGTGTATTTGTCAGAAAGATATAAATGCGTAAGGATGTAAGTTCAATTTTGAATTAGAAAGCTAAGATGTACCAGTTTTCATGTGTTGTACTTGATTACCCAGAAATTTGGCTATTATTTGCTCCTTTAGTAAGTGTAGTTTTTAGTTCTTGGTGACTGGACTTGTGAATTAGATGAAAGTAGAGGTGAATGGACTCTCTTTGGCATCTTTTAGTCTTGTAATGTTGCTTTATGGTGTGATAATTTGGTCATTCAACTGCAAATGTTTACTTCCATGCATGGAAATTTCTTGTCTTACTAAGCTCTCGAGAACATTTCATCTATGAGATTGGTAGTAGCGTGTAAGTATGATGTTTCTATAACATAATTTGCAATTATTCCATACTCTTCTATTAAGATCCTGATTGCAATATCTCTGCTCTAGGTGTTGTATTCTTTCAATTCATAATGCTTTTACCATTTTTGTCATGAAATCTAGGTGAATAATTCCTATAAAAAACTTTCTTTGCAGGTATTGTGAGGAAAGACCTTTATTGTTAAGCAATGCTGGAATGGGTGCTAACCTGTGCACTTATTATCGGAAGTCAGGCCCAGGTGATCAAGGTGGCAACTTGTTCAATGGAAACAACAGTTTGGGGAATATTTTGATTCTTGAACCTGGCGAGAAATCCCCTTTCCTAGGAGATATAAGGGCTGGTTGCAGCCAGTCATCTCTTGAAACAAACATGTACAAAGCACCCATATTTCCACATAAAGTGCCATCAACTGATTATTTGTTGGTTAGATCTGCAAAAGGAAAGCTTTCCATTAGACGTATTGACAAGATAGCCGTTGTTGGACAACAGGTGTGTCAAGTAGCTCTCTTTTCTTGTTTCCTTGTGCTTGATGTTGGCGGGCCTGTACTTGTGGATAATGCATTGGTGTAATGTCTTAATGCTATGCTGCATGCTAGAAGCCGAAATGCCCATACCATTCAAACAGAATTAGGTGTTATTATTTTGTGCATTTGTCCTTGGTCATATATCACCATTACTAGTCTCTTTGGCAGTTTTTAGGTAGGACTATCAGTTGTGGGTTCAGATTGAGCCAAGTTTGTTTCAATCTTGGTTTTGCTGCCTTAAAGCCAAAATTCGAGTCCACACATAAGTCGTTTATCTGAACAAGCCAAGTACGAGCCTGTAAACTGACAAACTTCTGAGGAGCTGCATTTTCTTTCTTATTCAGGAATTTGGTGATTACTGATTCTGTGGCTAACTTTTCATTACTTGGATAAGCTACATCTTTCTATGTGCAATCCTGATCCTGTCTACCAAAAATGCCAATACTGAGTCCCTGTTGAGAAATTCATATGGCAGCCATATCCTTGTCACTATCTGGAAATTGTGACTTCTTTCTCCCGTTTAAACTTAGAGCAGGTGGTTTCACCCTTTTCATATGTAATGAATGTGGTTTTTCTTTTATTTTTCTGTTTCTCTTTCTTGTGTGAAAAATTTCATGTGCAATGAATATATTTATCATCTCAGTCTCCACCTATCTCATTGCCCTCTCTTTTTCATCTATTGCATGTTGCAACCACAAAATATGGTCATGTTTTGAAGTTATTGTCCTTGGTTAGGAACCCCTGATGGAGGTAATGTCTCCTGCATCAAAGAATCTTCAAACGTATATGGTGAACAGGATGTTGGTCTATGTTTACCGTGAGTTTGCAAAGGGGGGCTTGCATCCATCAATTGGTGTAGATGAGTTGTCTTTGCAATTTAATAACCTTTCTGAAGCAATTATCAGGAAGAAGATGAAGGAGTGTGCATCTTTGCGGGTAAAAATTTAAGGATTCCTTGAGCATGTATTTTTCTATGTTGTAACTAGTTTGGTGCTCATTTTCTTCATTACTTCACATTCATATGCGAGGTGCAGAAGGACAGGTGGTACATGAAGTCTGATTTTACCATTCCATCAGAAAATGAATTGAGAAAGATGGTGACTCCAGAGCATGTAAGTTTTGATTCTCACTATGTACTTTGTGCATAGGGAATAACCCTTTAACCATTGGAGTCTTTTGATGTATCATGTTTTAGATACTAAGCATTATACCAGGTGGCTTAGGGATTTTATTCAGGTCAGAAACTCGCATGACTTGCCAAGAAATTTCCTTTTTTTTTTCCTTCCATTCCACTTTTCAAGAGAAAATAAAAACTTCATTACTGTCTTTTTACTATTGCTTTCTTGGTTACCAATTCTTGCATGGGGAGGAGGATATAGTTTCCTTTCACAGATATTTGGATATCATTATTAGTTCTATTATTATTTGCTTCTGAAGCCACTACTGAGATTAGGTAAGGATTTGGTTCTGTTCTGTTGTATTATCTTTGCAAGAGAACATGCTGTGCTTCTCCAGCAACTTGGTGTACCACTTGCATCAATCTAGCAGCCAACACTTCGGAAAAAAGAGTCTTATCCATCAAAATTAGAAGAATAATGTGTCTAAAATCCTTAACATAGCATCAACTACTCCATCAATTTTCGCCATTTGGACAAAAGAAGGTCAAGTTCAAGCTTGCTGCCAATTTTCCGGGCTAATGAAACTCAAACAGCGAAACAACATCAACTCAAATTTCTTTCCTTTTGTAAGGAAAGCCATCAAAAAGCTGTCAGGCTAGGAGCTTCTTATTCTGGAATCAAACTCCAGGACATTGCTTTCTAAAGCTTAGTCTATGTTCAGTAACCTCAATAGCCTCTGTACTTTTTATTATTATTATTTTTTTAAAAAAACTCAATAGTAATCTAGGACTTTGTCCTTGAAGCAATAAGTAATCCTCTGGTGGAGATTGGTCAGTTTGTGGAAGAACTTGGTACAATGGCCCTCCTTAATTTGCAATCCTAGCAGTCTCCTATCCACCTCTTCCATGAGTAACAAATTGGTTAAATCCAGTCCTGCAGATTCTTCTCCCTCTCCTGGGCAGATAAACCAGTCAAGAGCTAGCAGTTGATAGGAGTGGCTGCATCATGATGTTACTGACTGTCTTGATGAAATGGCCACAATGCTGATTTTGTCTTACAGAAAATTGTTAATTTAAATAATATATGGCCATTGGTTTTTGGTGACTATTCATGTCTCTCTCTCTATATATATATATATATACACATATATATCTATTATTTGGCTATCCATGATAAGCTTTTCTGTTAATCATGGCCTTGAAATATGATCCATAGCTTAGCTAAGTAGCATGGTTGTTGGAGGCAATTTAGAATTGGGTATTGCAGTAATTAGCTTCTAGTTATTTAATTGCTTATCACATATATAGTGCTCTTGCTCTCTCTCTCTCTCTCAGATTGTTTGCTGATTACAGTAGCTTTTTTTGGTATAGGTGTGTGCCTATGAAAGTATGCAAGCTGGTCTTTACCGGCTCAAACATTTAGGAATTACACGGTTGACACTTCCTACAAGTATCTCATCTGCAATGACCCAAATTCCTGATGAAGCTATTGCTCTTGCTGCTGCATCTCATATCGAGAGGGAACTGCAGATAACCCCGTGGAACCTGAGCAGTAATTTTGTATCATGTATGAACCAGGTAAGAATCATCATTCTCTTACTAGGCAAAATTAGCTGAATGTAAACCAAATTTAGTGTTCACTGTATTTGAAAAAGTAACAAAAGCAACTATTTATCTGCATTTATTTTGACAATTGGCTAAGGTTTATCTGGTCATTACTCATGAAGCTGTCTTTGGTGCCCTAATGCGCAAATATCTTGCTTCAATTTAAGTTAAGATGATGGCTTTGTCTGCGACTCTGCGGATTGAGTTTGGCCTTTTCCAGAATTTGCTCTATGTGGATTGCTGTTGTTTCTTATTTCTACTCTCATAAGCTGTTTTTTTGTTTAGTTTATTTTTATTCCTTAATTTCTTTAATTAGTAAGCTGATACTTCTAGTTACCTGATTTACTTTGTTCCTTCTAATACACATAATGTGTGTGTGTGTGTATTATTTGTTTGACCTTCTTTTTTGCGCAGGACAGAGGAAATATTGAACGCTTGGAAATAACGGGTGTTGGTGATCCATCTGGTCGGGGTCTGGGATTTAGCTATGTCCGAGCTGCTCCAAAGGCGCCAATTCCTGGTGCACTCTCAAAGAAAAAAACAGCTCCTGGTCGTGGGGGCACCACGGTTACTGGAACAGATGCTGATCTTCGTAGGCTGAGCATGGAGGCTGCTAGGGAGGTGTGTCATTTTTTCCATAATTTTATTTGAATTCAATTCTTGCCATTTCAGCCAAAGAGAAGAAAAGGAAGTCCATTCTTGTTAAAGTTGGCCATATATTAAGGCCTCTCTTCAGAGGTTTATCTTCGTCATGAATATATGAATTCCTGGGTCATTTTAGTGTGTCTCTTTCATTGCTAAGGTATCACAGGGTCGGGTTTATGGTTATAATACTTTACCTCTTTTCTTTAAATAAAAGACATGTGCAACATAAGGATTTCCCATGAAGTCATAGTCTAGTATGATTTTGTTCATTATATAAAGCTGTATGCAAGCATGACCCTAAAGAAGAAGATGCATCGCAATTTGGACGATAGATATCAGAAATTAGTTGTAGATTTTCTAGGTATCCTAACATGCTTAGAAGATAAAGATATGCGTGGAGATTTTTAAGCACTTCAAAGGTGTGGATTTCCTTTGTTCTTACATAGCTTAAATTTGGTGCAGTGGTGGATATTGCTAAGCCTTTTTTTCCTCTTGTGTGTACCTTTCTTTTCAATTTTGTGATGATGTTCCCTTAAAATTTCTACTAAAGATTGTGTTGCTAGGAATCTTGACACAGTTAGTGTGTTTGCATGAAGTTGCTCATTATTAACATGTATTATGGAGCAGATATTGAGAACTATCATTTTGCTTTTTCAGAAAAGAAAATAGTGTTAATCTGTACATTTGCTTCAAGGGTGTAACGCTTTGGCTTGCTCCTCCTTTCTAGGTTCTTCTCAAGTTCAATGTTCCTGAGGAACTAATTGCGAAACAAACTAGGTGGCATCGAATAGCTATGATCCGCAAACTGTCAAGTGAGCAAGCGGCATCTGGTGTAAAGGTTGATCCAACAACTATAAGCAAGTATGCCCGTGGACAGAGAATGTCATTTCTGCAACTGCAGCAGCAGACCAGAGAAAAATGTGAGGAGATATGGGATCGGCAAGTTCAGTCCCTTTCAGCCGTTAATCGTGATGAAAATGAAAGTGACTCTGAGGCAAACAGTGACCTGGATTCCTTTGCTGGGGATCTAGAGAATTTGCTTGATGCAGAGGAATGTGAGGAAGGAGAAGAGGGTAACTACTCATCCAAGCATGACAAATTAGATGGTGTTAAGGGGCTTAAGATGCGGAGGCGTCCATCCCAAGTTCAGGTGGAAGAGGAAATCGAAGATGAAGCAGCTGAGGCAGCTGAATTGTGCAGGTTGCTCATTGATGGTATGAATTTTAAACTAGTTGTGAATTGTTTGGATAATCTGGTTGCAGAAGTTGGCGAGATATGGAGCATGTATTCTCATAGTGATATAGTCAGTAGTCAGTTTGCTTCATGGTTTGTAAACATATTGTTAGAATTATAAGATCTGAGTCAGGAATCCTACAATCTGATTGATTCACTTGTAAAGTAATTTGTTACGTGAAATCAAAACATATATAAAATGTGTCAATTGGTTGTAAATTGTACAGATCAAGTTGAATCATACAATTTTTAGGGTTCTAATACTACTGGGTCAAACCAAGGTCGTATCTGACTAATTAGATTCAAACTGACACTTATTTGAGGTACAAAAAGAGCTAGGGAATGATTGTTGTGTGAGATGGAGAAGGAGAAGAAACTGATTACTGGTCTTGGTTTTGTTAATATAATTGGATGATATGAATCTAGTAAATTAGCTAGATTGTTCATCTTTTTTTATCTTGAGCTTTGGATGGTATAAAGTTCTTGGCAGTTTGAAAAATAAAGCAGCCATGATTGTCAAAGGATTTCCACTTTGGAAGGTTCAAATACCACATATTAACATTTTAGCAATTTCTTCTTTTATAATATTTGTACACTACTAAAATTTGGTTCAAGAACATTCCAACTCGGTTATAGTTTTGTCTTTGACAACTAATATTTTAGTTCATGATTAGGATATCAATTTGAGGACTATGTGCAGATAACTAAAATTTGATTTCAGTTCATGATTCTGTTAGATTCCTTGCTTGGATCAGGTCATGGATCTCCTCAGGGGAGAAGTCCTCCAGCAAGCATGAAACTTACTTGTCAAGGACCCATGATCTTAGAGAGTTCTCAAAAATTAAGAATAATTGTCTTAGAGAATTCTCTAAAATGTTGGATGCTTTATCCATTAGCAGAGTAGGTACTTATAGGAAGTATTGCTGCCCCGAAAGTTTAGGAAATAATTAAATAACTACAATTTACAAGGAAATAATTTATTTAGTAACCCTAACCAACTTCCTAATTCTAGATAAAGTAAAACCTTATGCTAGGAGGAATCGTATTATGGATTTCCTTAGCATATCTGACTAGCCTAAATCCTAATCAGAAGCAGCTGAGAATCTTATCCAGAAGATAAACTTGGCGATTCTCCAGGTGCCTGCAGCTTACGTCTGATTAGGACTTTCTGTGGGCTCCCCTAGAGCATATCGCATCACTAAATTGGTTAGGGTGGTTAGAATTATGTGATACGAGCATATCAGATTCTATCTAAAGTTCTTGTGCTATAGACGCAATTGATTTTGTCAGCCAAGCTATTAGCACCTACTATAGTTATTTGCTTGGAAATGTGATGAAGGCCAATTGTTTATTGCATGAATTGACTAATCCTAATGTGTTTTAGATATTACTTTTCATTCTATGCACCTGCTTCCATGAGAAAATATAAGATATATATAACTATTTTTTCCCTCAAATTTAAACTTGCTTACCTGTGTTGGATGTGGATGCATAAAATTTTTTTAGAAATATTGCGACTTTTTAATATCTTGGTTGACTCTTTTCTCAATCTCTTATAGGAAGTAGCACTTGTGCTTGCAAACCTTATATTTTAAAACAAAAACTGGTTTTATGTTTAATCCTATCCAGAAACATTTCAGTAAAAGAATTACTTTAAATCATTGTCATGAGTTTGAGCATCATTGTTTTCCAGATGATGACGAGCAGAGAAAAAAGAAGAAGAAAAAGGCTAAAACCCTGGCTGGAAAAGTGGGTTTTGCTTCTAGTTTGCGAACTAGTACAGGTCAAGATATGACAGACCGTATGAAGAGAACAAATGCAATAGCCAAAAAAATCATTAATACTGCTCCACCAGATGGATTCTGCACCCAAGATAAGAATACTGTTATGGACCCCATGGATGTAAGATTTTGTTGTATCTTTCAGATGTTTGCCTCCTATCCCCTTTTTGGCATAATTGATATCAAGGTCGCGCCTTACTTTTAGAGAATTATCCAGTAGGTGACCTAATGAGGATCTATATCATGTTTCGCTGGCAGGTGGAAAGCTCAATGCTTAAATGTAGCATGTCCGGAAAAGAGAAAGCAATAAAGAAGAATGGCATCTTAGCTATTGGACAACTCAAGAAAGTCAAAATACTTGGAGACAAGGTCAAGGTACAAAGAAGAGTGACATCTTTTTTATTTATATATTCTTTGTTGATGTATAGAAAAGCTGTTTGGTTTCTGTATGGAAGTTCTGTTCTGCAATGTGTATGAAAGTTTTTTTTTTTTTTTTGGAAATAAAAAATATAAAAAGTAAATTAAAAAACAACGGCACCAAGCGAGTGCCTCTATTTACAGAATATTTACAAGTTTGTTAGCATATGATGCATATGAAAGTTATTTTGTCAAGTATCCTGTTTCATTCTTCTTTGTCAGAGGATCAAAGAAACGTTTAGGAACGAATCCTTACACTTATTGTGAGGAAATATAGTTTTTCAATGTCAATTGCGGAGCAGTTGAGCATGTTGACAATACCACATAAATTGGAATTGTATCTGCACATAAATAAACCTGTTCATCCACATTGTGTACATGCATGTGTTAAATAGAGGCTCTTAGAGAGGGAGGGGGGTGGGGGGGGGGGGGTGGGGGGAAGGTTTAAAGAAATGTTCAAGCAGTAGACATTCTAAATTATGTAAATCCCAAAAATTTTTAGGTTGAAAACGTCTCTAAGAGAAGCATCACTTATGTCCCATCAGTCTTTCAGTTTACTGCCTTTGCAGGAACCAGTAGTGCCACTCTGTTCTTATTTGATTGGATGCCATGCAAAAACGACAAGATTGCTCAATCTTTGACAAAATTATCATCTTCTACACCTCAAATCTTTTCTCTTATTTATTGTTCTAATGTTTTTGCCTTGATTTGTGATCTTAAGTCCCACCTGGCTTATACATTTAACCCATAGTTACCTAAAATGAGGTATGTTTTGATCATGGTTCAGGGTTTGGATAGAAATATTATAGATGCAAAATTTGGGTTCTGATGGGTTAGGCTTAGTTGGTACATTATTTTGGTTCAGAGTTCCACTGGAGAACTTATTAGGTTCATTATTTGGATCATAAGTAACAGTTTAGTAATACATTCTGCTCCATTGGTTCTTGTTCTTTTTATGTGAAAGAGATTTAAGATTCAAATCCTTTTCATAGCTACAACAAATATACTGATACTCAATGTTACAAATTCCGAAAGAGCTGAATATCATATTACAGGAATTATGGAAAAAAAATTGTTTAATGGACTCTTGTTCTTCGTTTGTACACCTATGTCTCTCACTGTAGTCATAAATAATTTCAATTTTGATATAAAGTTTGTTAGGATATAAATTTGTCATTCTCTCTTTCTGTATCTTTTTCCTCTCGATATCTTGGGAATCCTACTCTGGCAGCATGACTTATTCTTCTAAATTTATGGTCTCTAATTTTAGATATTTGGATCAATAAACAAAATGAACCCAAGCGAACCCATATCCCAAACCACTTAAAAATTTGGTTTGTAAATTACAGGAGTGTTGACTGATCTCGGTAACTATTATTTTGACCTTTACGGAAGAATTTCTCAGTTCCTAAATGTACAGCCTTGGTGCTGTTCGTTATGAGCATTGATATGCTTTTGCCTCCTTTCGTGCTTATATTACTTATTAATCTCCAATTCTTTTATGGAAACTAGAATACTGAGTTTGGTTCAAATTCTAATGTCATGAATAGGAATAAGAATACTACAATGCAAATGTAATGGAAGTTTGGAAAAAAATAGCATTCTAAATCCAAGTTAATTCCAGTCCAATTTAAGTATGGTATTTTTTGTTCTTCCTTTCTCAATAGGTGAGAATATAAATTTACGGTTGTTGAATTGAAGATATGAATGAAATCAATTAAAGTATGTGTCAAATATGTAAATTATGATTGATTTTTTCACATCAAATGGCTGAAATCTAAAAATTGGACCAGAACAAAATAGGGCAGAGATAAGAGTTTTAGAATATTTTGTTATTGTATATTGGTGGCGATTTTCCCTTGGGATATAGGTTTGTGGAGGTGACAAGAAGAGGCATTTCATTGATGCTTACTGTGCTGCTGTTCCACAAATTGCAATTGTTTCTTTGACCAACTTTGGAAATTATATTTAGGAACAATGAAAAAATTGTAATTCTAGCATTTATGTTACGAAAAACTTTTTTTTAGTGAAGCCAAAACCAAAAAATAAAAATTTGCCTAAGAAAATACGGACTTGAGGATGATAGTCTTTTAGCTTTTCTTCCACAGGCTACCAAAAACAAAATGTCAATTCAAGGCTTGTGTTTGGGGCTCTTAGGATCCAACATTTCCTTAAGGAGAGAATATGTGCTAGGTCCTTTTTACTCTGGTGCTGGAGGATACTCTAGTGAAGCGAAGTGCTGTCCTTGTTCTTCAATTAGACTGTACCTGTCTTAGCCAACGATTAGTTTCTTTCTGTCTATCAAGTGAAGAAGGTAAAATGTACATACAATTTACCTTGAAAGTCAAAAACGTTTGTGTTCAAGCATGTGGTATCCAAAATAGAAGTTCATCTTAGGTTTGCTTGTGAACTTACCACCTCACACCTGTCCCATGCGAAGTCCACCTGGTAGCTCTTTTATCTCTTCTTGTGATTAATGTTCTCCACGCAAGGCGCTAGTGGATCTTGGTTGAACAATTGTAACTTGGTTTTTAGTTTGCTGAGTACAGATATCTAAATTCCTTATGGGTTCTAGATTTACTATGGTTTTTGTGTTTGTCTGAGTACAGATATCTAAATTTCTTATAAATTCTAGATTTAACCACCATGAATGTTCCAAGTCATTTCAGCTATGATCTTACTTTTTTTACCTCCTGTGCAGAACTAACCTTAATTAATTATTGTCTTGAAACAGATGTTTAAGGTAAAGAAATCAGCAAGGGAGAGTTTTGTCTGTGGAGCCTGTGGTCAGGTGCGAAACTTAAAAACATTATGTGATGTTTCAAATATGAATGATAAACTGTAAATTGACCCTTGAATTGGTCAGCTTGGACATATGAGGACAAACAAGAACTGCCCGAAGTATGGAGAAGATACAGAAGCACAAGTGGACTCAACAGATTTGGAGAAGCCTTCTGCAAAGCCCAGTCCACTGGATCCATCAGCTCAATTGCAGTCAAAAGTAATGAAGAAGAAGCTTGTATCTAAAAGTGCTACAAAAATTGCTGTTGTTGAAGTTTCTGGGGCTGAAAATTCTAATTCAAAGGCAAAGGTGCTTCCACTGAAGTTCAGATGTGGGCCTGCTGACAAGCAATTTGATAAAGTTGCTCTCGGAGCGTCGCAAAGTTCTGACCAAACTGTCACACCTGATGTTGAAACTGGGAGTAAGTCTGTCGCCAAGGTCAGCAAAATCATAATTTCAAGCAGAGCAAAACCTGAAGAAGTGCAGGTCCAGTCTGATAGGTCATGGCCTCCGGTGGATACTGATAGAAGTCAAGTCGACTCTCATAAACTGCCTCTCTTGATTAGGCCTCTTGTAAACAGAGAGAGAGAGCAGGTTGAATCTCATAAACACTCTCTTGTGATACGTCCACCAATGAAAAAGGATAAGGACCAGCCTAAGAAGAAAATTATTATCAAAAGACCTAAAGAGGTTAACGATCACGATCATGATCAGAATAGTCAAGATGGAAGCCCTCAGCTTGAACACAGGAAAACTAAAAGAATAGTTGAGCTATCAGGTTTCCAGAGGCAGGGGAAGCTGGAGAACTTGAAATTTACGGAAGAATCATCAAAGCGGAAAGCTAGAGAGGAGAGAAGATGGTGGGAGGAGGAAGAGAAGAGGAGACATGCAGAGAGAGAGGAGAGGGAAAGGATGTTATATGAGGAGGAAATCAGGGTTTTAGAAGAGCGGGAAAGGTTTCAGAAATCAAAAGATATGAAGATGCTATTAGGAAAGAGAGGGAGGAAGAGGAGCGGCAGAAAGTTAAGAAGAAGAAGAAGAAAAAGAAAAAAAAGCCTGAAATTGGAGACGACTACTTAAATGACTACCGGGCAAGAAGAAATGACAGAAGAATGCCAGAAAGAGACTGGAGTGTTAAAAGACGGCCTGTTGTTGAGGTGGGTCGGTATGGTGCAGAGTATGCCCCTCCAACAAAGCGGCGAAGAGGTGGAGAGGTACTCCTTTTTTTACTTTCTTCCATGTATGTTTTTGCTTTCCAAGATTTTTGTCTCCAAACAGCTGGTATTGTATGCATAAAATGATAGACACAACAATAAGATGGAAAAGGGTACATATCAGCCACTAGGGACAATTTGTTAAAAGAAACACAAAAGTAAAAGAATAGACTGGTAAGAAAATTGTCTTTTTTATTGTGTAGGGGAAAATATGATCCTTTGGGAGTAGAATAAATGTGTTGGGAATAAATATGTTGGCATAAAAGTATTTCCCACTCTTTTCATACATATATATGGATTTATTTATATATACATCTATGCGTGCCTGTATAGTTTATATCATGTATATGTTGATGTGCATGTATATATGTATGAGCATTAATACATGTGAGGAAAAAGAAAAATGATATTTTTGTTTCAAAATTAAAATTGCGAGATAAGTAAATGAAATAAAAGGAATTTTGTAAAGTTTGGTTTATTGTAATTGTGTAAATATACGTGCACAGGAGATTAGAGAGAGAAATTTTTTAATGTAACCACCGCAACTTAAAAGTTTCACCCCTTCCAAAAAAGCCGTTTCACTGCCAATAGCAAATGGAAATTGCAAGTTCAATCTGGATTGGAGAATAAGTTTTAGACAATCTTGAGCCTTGAACTTACAAAACTAGTTTCATCAAATAAATCACAATAGCTAAGCAGTTATTTCTATTAGATGAGCAAAAAGGTTCCTGTTTCTGCATGATGCTATCTATTCAAGATGAGCCCCTCATCATTTTCCTTGTGCTATGGACTCTTGCTGTTGTTCACAAAGCAATATCCAATTATTTCTGCAAGTGTCATTATCCAATTACCACATCAGCACAAATGTTTTCAAATTTGACCCCAGAGGTTTTTTACTTGGCCAGTTTCGGAACAAATGATTATGAAGCAAGATTCTAGGATGGTTTTCTCATTTCTATAATGTCTTTACTTCCTTTTTGTGGGAGAAACAAATGTCCTTACATTTTTCTGCAGGTTGGTTTGGCAAATATCTTGGAACGCATTGTAGAGACCCTAAGAGACAATACAGATGTCTCGCTTCTGTTTCTAAAACCTGTTACCAAGAAAGAGGCTCCAGACTACTTGGATGTGATAGAGCGCCCAATGGATCTGTCGACAATCAGAGACAAGGTGAGGAGGATGGAATACAAGAACCGGGATGAGTTCAGACATGACGTATGGCAGATTGCATACAATGCCCATACGTACAATGATAGGCGTAATCCTGGAATCCCTCCACTTGCAGATCAGCTTTTGGAGCTTTGTGACTATCTGTTGGATGAGAATCATGATAGTTTGTATGAAGCTGAAGCTGGTATAGAATCCAGGGGTTGAAAATGTTGCCAAATTGTTACTATTGTTGTTATATGGCTACAGCAGTAAGCGGCCTGTTTCTTTCTTGTATAGGACATGTGGAATCTGCATGATTTGTTCTAAAAATCAATTGGGGATGTGTGAAGGAATTAAAAAAAAAAAAGAAAATTGGAAAAGAAAGAGAGAGAAGATTGTGGTTACATCCCTTTCGTTGTATATTTGTACTAATCAGATTGTAAATATTAATTCCATTAAAAAATAAATTAGCGTATTTTACAAGCTCATCGTGTTGACGAAATTTGGCCATGAAAATACCACTGAAAAAAAATGTTTGCGAGTCATGATAAGAATTTGGTCTTAAACCACGCGACGACAGAGAATAGCCATGACATTAAACTATACGACCATGGATGATTAATGCGGCAAAAGCTTAGATGTTCATATTTTTGTATCTGAAGTGTATGTTTAAGCAAATTGCTGAATCTTTTATGGTGTTTATTAGAACTAATTATCAAATGATTATGAAATTTTGAAAACTATTTCTTGAAGTAAAGGATTGTATTGACCATGTCATTCGCTTGAGAGATTGTTTAGAATTACTGATAAAAGATGTACTTATGTTACTACAATGTTCTAAATTATTTGAAGTAGGAAAAAAATTTGTTTGAAAAAATAAGTAGTTTGATTTTAGATGAAAGTTATTTATTTAAATGAGTAATTATTTTTATTAAAAAAATAAAAACTTATATATTTATTATAAGTTTTTTATTTCTTATATTGATGTATACATCTATTATATATTGTAGTAAAATATAAAAAATTAATAATAATTAAGTAAATTAGTTAGACATAAAAAGTAGTAAACCTACAAAGTCTGGTATGATACTCACCTTCACAGTTTGTGAAATCAGGAGTTTCAGTCCGCTAAAAAATATAGAATTTTCTCAAAGAAAATTTAATAACAAGATTAATAATCCAATTCCAAACCACTTCAACAACCCTCAAATATATTGTAAGTAGGCATCTTGAATCATCAAAAAATTCATTAGGCTATCTTTACATAAGTATAACAATCCATTTTAAATGATTTGTACTAATTTGCAATGTACATGTATTTCGAACACATCTCACTTTACTCGATCTAAAGATATATTTTGTAA